GCGGCGCTAGCCCTCAGGCTGGACCCGCTGCTGCTTCGCAGTCAGCTCTCTTACAATCCGTATTCTGGGGAAGATATTTTCTCCCCCTCACCGTCAAGAAACCCACATTCTCAAGAAACCAGCATCAAAATTCTGCGGGTCTGTGCGGTTCAGTGGCTAGGATACCAGAGCCTTTATGCACAGGAGACCATAGTCCTAATAGAGCGGATGCGCGTATACAGTAAGGGTGGGAGACTCAGGCTCCACTCCTAGTGCCGACATTTCTTTTTAGAGTTTTTATTTGAACTTTTTGATATTCCCAATATGTTCGTTCATATTCATATAATCTGAAATACGGCAGAAAACCTACGGAGCTTCTATCGTGTATCATGCATTCACAGCCATTTCAACCTTATAGATAGGTAAACGAGCGTCAAGTGCTAAGTATATGAATCCTCTGAGGGGAAAGACGCGTGAGGAAGCAAAGAACCTTATTTTAAGTTTCCCTAAAGTAGAGGTGGGCTTGTCTTGGAAAAGGGAGGCAGTGGTCACTTGCCGCTTGGTATGAGTACAATCAAAAGTAAAATCACCCTTCCTTTGGCAGTTCTCCCTGTCCTAAAAATCCTCTACCAGGGTTATTCCGCTCCTACAGTAATTAGATAGGCTCTTCTCTCTAAAAGGCTCTCAGAATCAAGCCATCAGCGGTTATCAGCATGATTCAAGCCCCCGAGGTGTAGAAGGATTCTCCCTAAGAATAGTGACTTAGTTAGAGCTACACAAGCCAGAGAATTGAAAAACTAGTTTCATACAGTCACACTAATATAGGAAATCCGAAAAAATATGGGGAGAGACACGCAGGTGGAGGAGGAAATACGAACTGCAAGAGTGAGGGGCAGCCAGGGATTTAAGGTACATTCGGGCAACTAGCCCGTTTCGTCACCATTCACGTGTAATCCATACACCAAAATAGAAAAGTTCCCGCTCAATTCAACGTGTTGTGCCCTGCACACCATCACGATTTACCAACACCACACATGTCAACTTCCTTCACTATTCTATATTATGGATAGTTCCCCCGTCTTGGCAATATCATTTGACTAGGCTATGTGTAAGACAAGCATGCGGATACGAGAGGATTCAAGGTTAGGGTTATGCCTAAATCTCTCCCTCTCTTGACAGGAACATCGTAATCTCAATCCAACTCCACTTAAGGCTGTCGGTTTGTTCCTTTGATCTTCAGTATATGTACATTTTGGATATCAGAATGTTCGGTTTTCCTGGGTGGCAGCTGTTCGCCTCACCAACTATTTGATAGCCTCTCGCCAAAAGTTCCCCATCCTGCCTGTCAAATGCCTCTTCAACCAGATCAGAGATACCCCTGATCGACTCCTGGTTACTTCCTCGGCTCGATTAGGATTCACAACGACATGGCACTCTTGTCCAGTGCTCCACAATCAGATGCCTCCCTTGCACGCATCGCAGAGAGCGTCTATCAAAATCAAGTTTTGGTAACGCCTAGTGTTGTAGGATTAAATCCCAAAGTCTTTAAAAGACGCGTTATCCTTCGTCCTTCTCAGTTTTTCAGGTTCTAAGTCACACCTCGTGGTACATCCAAACCACATGTCCTAGCACTTCTACCTTAATCAAGCGTTATTTTTCGCTGTCCATTCTTTTATATCAGCTTTAATCATGGCTACGTCTACTCCTTACTCTCACTTTTCCTTAATTTTATTGTCTATTTCGTCTTGTGTAAGCGGTGCCAGCATTCATAGGCGTCTGGCTGTTCCAGATGGATATGTTGCGGCTCCTTACTATCCTACCCCTCATGGAGGATGGACCGCAGACTGGAGCGAAAGCTACCGCAAGGCTTCGTTGTTGGTGTCTAATATGACACTGGCAGAGAAGACCAATATTACTGCTGGTACTGGTATTTATATGGGTAAGGCTCCCTAGTGAACTCATTCCTCACAACTTCGCTGATATCCCATTCAGGGAGATGCGTCGGCAACACTGGAAGCGCACTCCGAGTCGGATTCCCCCAAATGTGCTTGCAAGATGGACCGCTCGGAATCCGCAATAGCGACCACAACACCGCCTTCCCCGCCGGAATTACGGTTGGAGCTACTTTCGATAAAGACCTGATGCGCCGTCGAGGTGAAGCTTTGGGTGAAGAATTCCGCGGCAAAGGAATTAACGTGTACCTGGGTCCCTCCGTCGGACCTCTGGGCCGCAAGCCAAGAGGAGGGCGGAACTGGGAAGGCTTTGGCGCTGATCCAGTTCTGCAAGCCTTTGGAGGAGCGTTGACTGTGGAAGGTGTGCAAAGCAAGGGTGTTATTGCTGCTATCAAGCATTTCATCGCCAACGAGCAAGAGATGTTCCGCATGTACAATCCTTTCCAGGCTGGTATTTCTTCGAATTTGGACGACCGGACGCTTCATGAGCTGTATCTGTGGCCTTTCGCGGAAGGCGTGAGGTCCGGAGTTGGCTCTGTTATGATTTCCTATAATGCGGTGAGCTTTGATTCTGCGCTCATTTGAAATATTACTGATTTGTCTAGGTCAACGGCTCTGCATGCTCGCAGAACAGCTACTTGATCAACAACGTTCTTAAGGACGAGCTCGGCTTCCAGGGCTTTGTTGTGTCTGACTGGTTGGCCCAGATCTCTGGCGTCTCTTCAGCTTTGGCTGGTCTCGATATGAGCATGCCTGGTGATGGCGCCGTTCCATTGTTTGGCGATTCCTACTGGATGTACGAATTGAGCAGGTCGGTGCTTAACGGCTCCGTCCCAGTTGACCGTTTGAATGATATGACTACGCGTGTTTTGGCCGCCTGGTTCCAAATGGGTCAAGATTCGAACTATCCTTCACCAAACTTCGACACCAACACTCAAGACGAGACCGGCCTCCTCTACCCCGGTGCTCTCTTCTCTCCCAAAGGCGTCGTCAACGAATTCGTCAACGTCCAAGCCAACCACGCGGACGTCGCCAAAGAAGTCGCCCGCGACGCCATTACTCTCCTTAAAAACATCAACAACACCCTCCCCTTAAAGCTCAACTCCACCCTCAAAGTCTTCGGCACCGATGCGGAAAAGAACAGCGACCTCAACTCCTGCTCCGACCAAGGCTGCGACAAAGGCACCCTCGGCATGGGCTGGGGCAGTGGCTCCGCCCGCTACCCATATATGGACTCGCCGATCGACGGTCTTAAGGCTAGAGGTGCCAACTACAAATTCTACGACACCAACCTTTTCCCTATAACGGATAAAGCTTCCCCGGGAGACGTAGCCCTCGTCTTCATCAACGCCGACAGCGGTGAGAACTACATCACCGTTGAAGCCAACGCCGGTGACCGCAACATCGTCGGCCTCAAAGCCTGGCACAACGGTGATGACCTTGTGAAAGCCGCTGCGAAGAAATACGACACCGTCGTGGTGATCGTGCACACAGTCGGCCCTATCCTCATGGAAGAATGGATCGATCTGCCGTCCGTCAAAGCTGTGCTCTTCGCTCATTTGCCCGGCCAGGAAGCGGGCGACTCGCTCATGCAAGTTCTGTATGGTGATGTTGCGCCTTCGGGGCACTTGCCGTATACCATTGCTAAGCAGGAATCTGATTACGGTGAGAGCGTCGAACTTGTCGGGTTCCAGTTGGGGCAACCGCAGGATACGTTTTCTGAGGGATTGTATATCGATTATCGGCACTTTAACAAGGAGGGTATCACGCCACGCTTCGCATTCGGCCATGGTCTCTCGTACACCTCGTTTTCCTTCTCTAATGCCAGCATCTCCTCAGTCACACCGTTGACCGCCGTTCCGCCGACTAGACCCGCAAAAGGCGAGGTACCGAGTTATTCCACTGCCATTCCTCCCGCGTCAGAAGCCTACTGGCCTGAGAAATTCGACAGGATCTGGAGATATCTGTACTCGTGGCTCGACAAATCCGACGCGGATAAAGCGGCTGCGAAGGCAAATTCCACAGACAAGTATCCTTACCCAGAGGGCTACTCTACGGTTCAGAAAGCCGGTCCTGCGGCTGGCGGTGCGCAGGGTGGAAACCCCGCTCTCTTCGACACTGCATACACCATCTCCGTCACCGTCAGCAACACTGGAAAGGTTGCGGGTAAGGCGGTCGCGCAACTCTATGTGCAGTTTCCCACTGATATTTCTATCGATACGCCAGTTATTCAGCTCAGGGACTTTGAGAAGACAAGAGAGCTGGCACCGGGAGAGAGTCAGGTTGTAAAGATGAGGGTTACGAGGAAGGATTTGAGTGTTTGGGATACGGTGAGCCAGAACTGGATCGTGCCAAATGTTGGGGGTGATTATGGGTTGTGGATTGGAGAGGCGAGTGATAAGTTGGGTTTGAGGTGCGGGACGAGCACGGGGAGGTGTGCTGATGATGTGAAGAGCCCTGTGTAAGAAAAAGAAAATGGGAAAGGAGGCGGAATGTTTGAATGAGAGCTTTTTCAGAAAACATGTTTATACTGCTTTTGATAGTCGCTTTATGTTCTTCGTCGTTAATATCTTGATTTTCTGTTAATATATACTTTTAGCTAAGAGTTTATATTGGCTCCAGTGAATCGGTTCGAAAGTGTTATCCAGCTAAAGTGGCCGCTTCCAGTTTTATCACCTTCTGCCTAAGCGGAAACTGTTTAACTATAAACAAGAGAAACTCTTAATCCTGCACTCTTAGGGGGGTTCTTGTACCCTAATTTCTAAACACGATTCTAGCGTCCAAATATTTACCTCAGCCTTCGTTAAATACCCACTCTTCTCTTATTTTGCTAAGAACTTCCTTTCGTTTATGCAGGAACTCTTTATTCCTGATTCACCTTATAAAATTGACGCATAAGTTATGTAATACTAACGGTCCAATTTGAAAAGGTAGATCAACTTAAAAAAAAGTTTTGAATCTATATCTCTAGTGCTTTCCCTGAGAAAGTTATACAAATAAAAGGATATTTATCACCTCTCTCCAAAAGCCTCCAGAACCATCACAAAAACCACAAAACACCAAAAAACAGGGTCTTGCCGCGACTCGAACGCGGGGCCTCTCGCAAATTTATACTCAGGGTACACCCTAAGCTATCTTTTTGTTAGTGATTTTGTTTTAAGATGAATTGTGGGAACTAGGCGCTTACCGAGAATCATACCACTAGACCACAAGACCAGGCTAACGAACTCTTGTGGAGCTGAATTGATTGATGGAGCAATTTTTAATAATATAAAATTATATAACATATGATAAAATCAGTAGTCAAATTATGTGTGGAATAGAATTTGTGGTAACTAGTGAGGATTGAGAGGATATGGAAATTTAGAAGTTTGGGTCGGTTTTGATGATGGAGCTGTAACTGTGTGAAAGCCGCAGAGCAAGGTGAGACGTTCGAAAATTGTCAAGTGATGTTTTCTTTTAAAAAAAAATTGGTAGACGCTGAAGAAAAGGAAACTGTAGGAACAAGAATAAGAATAAGAAGATTAAAATCTAACGTGCTACCTGGATCCAACTCGGGTCTATGAATACGGAATAACGATGCTTAGAGCAAGATAAACCCGACTCTAGAGAAGTGTCATTCTGGAGTCCAACTCTTTGCCTTTTCCTTACCTTATGCCTTTCCACTCTAGTTATGGTGAGAACTAGTTTAAATAGAGGGAACGGAATTCCGAAAGAAGCCAAAGACACGTAACTATTGACCTTTTTCCATTATTGTATAGTTTGTGTTTCCTAAATAAACGTATGCGTTACCTCCCCACCTCTCACCCCGACAGCATTGTAAGCCGTTTCGCAGCGAAGAAGATCTGCACTTCCTCGTTAGCCTTCGCATGTCACCGTACTTGACTCTGGAACAGCACTCCCATATGCAACAAGACTTACCCAATACAAAGCACTGACATCCTTACTTGGCACACCCCCTAGCACCCAATCCACATAAAATGCGAACAGAACTGTCATAACAAACCCCCCATGCATCAGAGTAGTCACAGTGATCATCAAGAACGAACCCCAATAATACTGAAATTTCCTTAACGAGGTTGGTTCCGCTTTGAGAAATATGAACACAGCTTCTCGATTCGCGCGAGCACCGAGCCAGAGTCCGAAATACAGTTTAATGCATAACTCGAAGACGATCCAGATCAATGCTATAGCAGAGAATGCGTATGTTACGCTACGGATCGGCTTATACAGGGGCCAGGTTTTCACCACAAGGGAGAAGAGGCCGGGACTGCCAATAAGAACAGCGAAGAGGTAGATCAAAAGCCAGTGTTTCTGGGCGTGGTATTTGTCTGTTCCCATGTTTTCTGGCTTCAAGTGCAAGGCCATATTTTCCCAGAGACTTCCGTAGTGTTCATCGCCTTGGTGGGTTTGTTCGTAGGCGAAATCAAGAAGTTCGTCTAGATCTTGTACACCTATTTATACCAATTGTTTAGTTACTTATGGTAGGCAGGTTGATTTGATTGGACCCTCATATTCCTAGAGTATTGTGGAAGTACGTACGCTTATCCAACTTCTTAACCGTAACAAACGTCCAAACTCCCACAGTTGCACTCATCATCCCAACCCACACCGCAATCAGCACGAACTCCCACCGCATAGTGCATCGCACAATCGTGAAGACAGAGATCGTCGGAGTGACAACCAGTGTGAGTATCGCAAGGCCCATATCCCACCACCTGTGTGAAAGTTCGATCCACGGTAGAAATGGGGAGCGGAGGTGGTAGAGGCAAAGAATTTGCCAGTAGGTGAGTATATGCGATATGAAACCGATAGCGCCAAAGGGAAGGCTGTAGCACTTCATCTCATCTTTGATAGTGCCGGTGCCATTGCGGTGAGGGAGGAGGGGCTGAACCCAGGAAGGAACGGAGCGGGCGTTGTTTGGAGGAAGCCATGGTGTTGTTGTGGATTTTGATGTTGAAGTAGCCTGGGTTGTTTTTATGAGTAAAAAGAAGAGAAGTATGAGGAAAAACAGTTTTGGGATTGAATGAAGTGAGAGAAATTTGAAGTTCAACATTTCGGACGAATATGATTATGAGACCTATGACAAATGAGAGGAACGGCGCTCGTCTATATGAAAGGAATCTTCAGCGTTGTGCTACTAACACGCCCAAGGCTGGAGGCAGTGAAAGATAGAAATGTCCAATCAACGTCATAGAAAACCAAAATGCGGCGGAGGCCGTGGGAAGGAGCAAGACATTATGCAGCGGGAGAATATTGGATCTAGACTTTTATGCAGACTGCCATACAGGGAGCAACTCGTAAAGTCAGCTCATCAGAGCAAGCCACAGTCTCGAGGCCTGTTCATTTTGGCGAGTCGCACTGAATCGAGAACCTTGACTCTACTCGGCAATGAGCATCAAGCAACTGTACGGTAAACTTGCCAAAGGTGGTTGAAATAAATAGGAGATATTGGAGAAAAAGACCACATAGTCCAATGGGAGGAAAACCCTAACTTTCGCCAAATCCCCAGGGCTGCCATCGTACGGCCAGAGATGGAAGGCCCAGCTATCATAAAGAAAAAGCAGCTCTGACTCTCGACTAACAGTCTGAAAAGTTGGAGTGGTATAGGTACCTCTGCCTCAGCATGCTGGAATTGTTTATTTACATGCACATATCGTACATACTACACAATCTATAGTTATTGACCATGTCAGCTTGAATCATATAGACCCAATTTAACGAGGAATCACCCTTCATAGCCTTCAGGAGGCTCCATCCGTCTCCAAAGACCCAGAAACCCGCCTCCTACAACCCTTTCACCAACCTTCGGCCGGCAGACCATGAATGTCCGTTCTTCATCCCTCTTGACGCTTTCTTCGGCTAATTCTTGATCTCTGGCCGCTTGGCCTTCTTCCGCTGACTTAGCATTCTCAATATTACTAACTGAGGCCTGTCCTTCCTCCAAAGCTTCCTCTACTTCCCCACCCTCCCCATCCACCTTAACATCTCTCTTCTTCTGCTCCTTCCTCCTCTCCTTATCCTTCGCCACAACTCTAGGCACCACACTCCTAACATCCCACCTCCTCACACCCTCACTTCCCAACTCGACAACCTGATCTAGTACAAACGGCAATCTTTCCTCCCTCACCAATTCCACAATCTCGGCAATCTGTGTGATACTCGGATTGAACACCGCCAACAACCCGTCTACCTTTAGTGCCTTCGCTACGTTGGCTACATGGAGATTTGCGTTGGGCATGTCGAGGATGACGTGGTTTAGAAACGGATGGGTGGTGTTGCGGGAGGAGAACTGTGATGAGATCCAAGCGGACACATCGCCGACATGGAAATCTACATTTCCAGCGTACATGCCCCGGCGGTAGAACTGAACGACACGTTGCGCGTGTTTGGAGTATTTGGAGGAGGCATCGACGGTGTGGAGGATGGCTCTCCGCTGAGATTTCCATGTCTCTAGATTTGCCTGATACAGGTCGGAGATTGTTTCGCCCTGATAGACAGGGTCTTCGTCTGGTTCTGTTTGGGTGGTTTCAGACGAACGAGGTGATGTGGTCTGAGGTGGGACGGGACGGGGAGGATTTGCGGCGTGGATGGCGCGAGAGAGATGTAAAGTCAAGGCTCCATGGCCTGTTCCTGCTTCAAGAATTTCGAGCGGTGGTTGGTTATCCCACACACCAGGGGTCGGCGCGTCGACATGAATATCCAGAAGTGACACGATTATGTTTGCATCGTTAGGGTATACCTATATCAAGTCCCGTCAGAACTCGTTCAATCATCCCCTCTCTATTCCCCCATGCTCTTCCTAATCGTAACACATATGATATAGACGCACAGGAGTGACTAATCTCGGACTCAACCGGACGTACTCTGCTAAGGTAGGTTCATGGATGCGGTAATCATGTCCCTTCGACGTTCTTATCACCTGGCGTGTGCTTTTGCCAATGATTTCCGCATGCGAGACTTTGCCGAAATGGGTGACGAATTCTTTGGAAGTGCGGAGTTTTACGAGAATGCCATCATGAGAGCGGTCGCGTTTGGCGCGGAGGAGGACGATGTCGCCTTCTGCGAAGTGTGTTAGGAAATTTAGGGCGGAGGTTGCAAAGGAGAACTCGCCTTGGTAGACTCGAGAGAGATTTGTGGTGCTTGTGAAGTGTCTTCTACTGCATAAAAAGGAGGGTTGAAAGATTGCTCGGGAAGAAAGGAGCGAGGACCGCATAGTTGGGGTGTATTGAGAGTTGTGAAGTTTGGTTGAAAGTTGAGGGCACGGAGGGGTCTCCGGTGCTCATCCCCGGTGCCAAGACTCTGAATGATGACTACATACATTAGGGGGACGAGAAAGGGGTTGAATGCAGGCAAATTGAAAATATGTATAAGTTGGACTGCTCGATTATTTGAATATCGCTTATTAGATAGTAAGACTTCACTCTTACATAAGAATTACGAATACTAGCATGAAAGCCGTCAAGTGTGCAGTTCTACATATAATACAGTCTTTAAACAACAGTAGCTATACAACATTCATACAGCTCACCCTTTCCTCTGGTTCACCTCAGTCCACATATATATTATAATCCCACCTCCTTAGTCACATCTTCGCACCTCTTACACAACTCACCCTCTTGCTCAGCCAAGAACCGCCAACACCTAGGACACTTATGGCTCTCCGCTCTAACCACCACAACATCCACCCTCTCCCCATCTCCCATCTCCTTCCCATCCTTCCTATCCCCCGCATCCGACTTACACCACTCCTCCGCATACGGCACTCTCGCCTCCTTCACCTCCTGCAACTTCCTCTCTAACTGACTCCTTTCCACGACCCTCACATTACTAACCACGAAATTATTCGTCAGCTGCTCCTCCACCCCAGGAATGCAGAACAGACTTTCGGAACCAGAGTCCACAGTCTTCGGGAGACATATATAAACATCTGATTCCAGACCAGAGCCGATGTGCTTCTCCTTCCTCAGCCTCTCCTGCGCATTCTTAATAGCCGAAAAAATCTTGTTGATGTCCTCGGTCCAGCGCTGCATAACCTCTTTGTTTTCATAGGGTGAGACGGTAAAAGGTTTCCATACCATCCTCGCCGGATGCACACTCCCTTCCTTTAACTTCTCAGGTAAATGATCCCACACTTCCTCCACAAGCAACGGACAAACCGGCGCAAGCATTTGCAACAACTCATAGAACACCACCCCCAAAACCTGCTGTGCAGT